TTCCTTGGGAGCCACCAAGACTCCAGCAGACTGCCTTTGGATTGGAACTGCACCCTCAGCTCTCCTGGGTCCCTGCCTGGTGGCCATCACTTCACATTTGAACCTGCCAGCCTTCATAATCGCATGAGCCAATTTCCTATAAATCTGTTTGTATTCACATGCTATTGGTTCTGTTTCTCAGGACCAATACAAGCCCAATAATGCAGTTTTAGGGAAAGGGTGTCAGCTTTGGTTGTCATCTTCTCAACATTAAGGCAGGGAAAAGCGGGGCCACTCACTGTCCCTTGATTTGCAAGGGGGGAGGAGGTATTTTTACAGACCATCGCATTGAGAATCTCTTACACATTGAATAAGGAGCACAGCCAGAACCAGGCTGACTGACTCCCAAGCATCTGGTCTTAACCCCTTATAGCAGGTTGAAGGTGGTTCCCAAAATGATGTACCCACTTTCTAATCCCCAGATTAGAAATATGACCTTATTTGGGGGGAAAAGGGTCTTTGTAGATGCAATTAAGTTAAGGATCTTCAGATGAGATCATACTAGATCGTCTGGATGGGCCCTAAATCCCATGACAAATCATATATAATCCTATATATAATAAAGAGCTGATATGCAAATGTCAAGCCCCGCCAGGGCCAGGGGACCTGAGGCCAGGATGGAGGACGTGTGGCTGTGCCCCCCGCCCAGCGTTGGGGCCAGGAGACCTGAGGCTGTGCCCCCCACCTCAACGCCGGGGTTGGGGGACCTGAGGCTGCACCAGGGGACCTGAGGCCACACACCCTGCCCAGCGGGGCTTGACAGGGGACCTGAGGCTACACCCCCAGCCCTGCAGGGTTTGAGGGATTTGGGGCCAGCTGGGTCTGAGTCTCATGTGATTCGAGGCACACGTGGGTGGGCGGAAACTTGACTCTGGATCCCGCAGCATGCCCCAGACTGACAGGAGGGAGATTTTTATATACATTTTACTAATTTTATTTCATCTCTGACACTTCTATTATAGAGAAAGGGCAAATAGCAATATTAAAATAATTCCTCTAATTAATTCTCTTTTAATGCGCATGAATTTTGTGCACTGAGCCACTAGTAAAGAGCTAATATGCAAATGGTCATTATGCCTCATGCCCTCTCGCCCTTGTGTCCTCTCGTGCTGGAACTGCTCAGACACTCAACACTGGGGAGAGAGGAATGGGGACCAGCCAGGCACAAATGAGCTGGGGAGAGAGGAATGGGGACACGCCAGGCTGCAGCCCGGAAGAGGGATGAGCTCCCCACCGCAATCCTGGGCACCTGTGGCTGCGGCCAGCCCAGGCACAGCTGACCTGAGTTCTGGGTGCCTGCAGCTGGCCAGAGGAGGTAATTCTGGGCCCCAGGTGCAGGGCAAGGCAGAGCGGTTAGGAGCGGTAAGGAGCCAGCGGTCCCGGATTGTGAGAGGCAGTCGGACATCCCCCAAGAGGTCCCAGATTGGAGAGGGTGCAGGCCAGGCTTGAGGGACCCCCTCCCTCCTGTGCATGAATTTCATGCACCGAACCTCTAGTGGTCTTATAAGAGACATACAGGAGATATTTTATAGACAACAGAAACCCATGTCTGTTGTTTGTGGTAGTTTGTTGACTGCCACAGAAAACTAATACACTGCTATATCTGATATTGGAGATACTAGTACATTCAGAGGGAGCAAACCAACCTCCAGAGAATAGCGTGCAATGACCAAGGGTCACTCATTTTTGAAATACATATGATTAAGGTAAGATGGTATAGGAGAAAGGAGCTAACATTGACTGGGCCCTTACTATGGCCCAGGCACTGTCCTACCCACTGACCTCTAGTATTTTGTTTAATCTTCACAATAATCTTATAAAGTAGGTTCCACTGCCCTAGCTGGCTTGGCTCTTGTATAGAGCATCAGCCTGTGGACTTAAGGGTCCCAGGTTCGATTCCAGCCAAGGGCAGCACATGCCTGGGTTGCGGGCTCGATCCCCAGTGGGGGGCATGCAGGAGGCAGCCAATCAATGATTCTCTCTCATCATTGATGCTTCTATCTCTCTCCTTCTCCCTTCCTCTCTGAAATCAATAAATAAATATATTTTAAAGTAGGTTCCACTAATAAGTATGTAAAGCTCTCCTGGCAAGGCCCACATTAGATTAGGAGGTTGGATATGCTTGAATAAAGAATGGTGAGACTCCAGAGATAACACATCTAAGAAATAAAAATATTGAACCAAGAGGCAGTTAGGTGCTGTAGTTAGGGGTGCGGCCAACTAAGTCAGACCACCTGGATATGTACTCCAAAGCCTCTACTCACCATCTGTGTGACCCTGGGCAGAAATCTTTGCCTTGGTTTTTCTATCTCTTAAATGGGGATAGAGCAAGAACCCACCTTACGCAAGGTTGTTGTGAGTAAAAGCATGTGAAGCATTTAGGACCAAGCCTGGCAGATAGCAGCCTCTCCATAAGGTGTAGCTATTCTTCTAACACACATGCTGTTAAGCACACCATAAACACTCAATGGATATTTGCTATTATTATCATTAGTTCAATTAAGACCCAGCTAGACCTTAATCTTTCCCTGATTTTTCTAGAGTCGTGATCTTTTTTCTGCTAGAATTAAAAAGGCCTCCTTGGAAGACAGAAATTGGATTAAAATAACAGCTCTCAGAGTGTAGGCTCTAAGATTGATCCAAAGTACAAGGCATGTAAAGTAATGGCAGGCGAGGGGGCGGCCCTTTAAGGCTTTCACCATATATTTAATAGACAATTAAACCCAATTTCAAGATTAGAAAATAAATAGATTCAAAGATAGTCACAGCACTTGAAATGTCACAATTTGCTGCAGTGGAAGCCACTGATTGTTAGGTAGGTGGGGGAAGGGAGAGTAATAAGAAAGAGGGAATGGTTTTCCTAAAAATAACCATTTTCCTGAAAATAATCAATATAAACTAAACCAAGGTAAAAAAATTCCTTCTGCCAAAAAGAGCTTTTGCCATACTCTAATAAGCTGGTCAGAAAAGTTTGGATTTGTTTATTCCTTAGTTCATGCTTTCATTCATTTAACATTTGTTGATCATGAATAAATAGTTCTTGATATATATATACATATATATATGTACATATATATGTATGTATGTATTCTTGATATATATATTTATTAGAAGCCCACTGCACAAAAATTTGTGCACTGGCAGGGGGAATCCCTCAGCCCGACCTGTGCCCTCTCACAGTCTGGGACCCCTCGGGAGATAACCACCTGCTGGCTTAGGCCTGCTCCCAGGTGGCAGATGGCACACCCAATCCCGTGGTGTCTTCCCCGTCTCCCCTGGTTGCAGATGGCAGGCCCGGATTCCGAGCTGGGTCGGGCGACTGCTCAGATAGTGCTGCCACCCGCCCTGCTTGCCCCGCCCCGCACATCACAGGCCCGGATCCCACACTGGGGTGGGTGGAGGCTTGGGATCGCGCTGCCGCCTACCCTGGGCCGCACATGGCAGGCCCGGATCCTGCGCTGGGGCAGGCCAGCGGCTCGGGATCGCGCTGCTGCCTACCCCAGGCAGGGGGGCGCAGAGGGATTTGCCTGCAATATGCAAATTAGCCGCTGTCTTTGTTTGCGGTTAATTTGCATATCATGCTGATTAGCCTATGGGAGGCATAGCGAAGGTACAGTCAATTACCATGTCTGTGTATTATTAGATAGGATATATCTTTTTATTGATTTCAGAGAGTAAGGGAGAGGGAGAGAGCAATAGAAATATCAATAATGACAGAAAATCATTGATCAGCTGCCTCTTGCACTCCCTTACTGGGGACTGAGCTTGCAAACTGGGCATGTGCCCTTGACCTGAATCGAACCCTTCAGTCCCAAGGCTGACACTCTATCCACTGAGCCAGACTGGTTAGGGATTGATCATCAAGTTTTACTAGCTAGTGGTGGGGTACACAAACAACTGCAATCCAGGCTAGGAAAAAATAGTGCCGTAGCAGGACAATAAAAAGGTACTGATGTTCACTGCAGATGCCTGGGGAGAGTGACTTCCCAGATCTAAAGGGTGATTCCAGACCATGACATCAGTCACATACCACAGTGGCAGTATATGCAATCTTTCTATAGGCTGGTTGTATTGTCTGTTGATATTGTTGCTTTACTTTTACAAGTCAAATGTATTTTACTTGTGCATTTTGTTTCTTGTTGGGGTCCAACCCCAGAAGGTCCAGGGGTTCCCAAAGGTGTGGACGGAGTCGGCAAAGAAGGAAGGACATGGAGGCAACGTTCAGTTGATCAGCAGCCTAGCCAGGGTCTCCAGCCAAGTTCTGTCCTGGATCTCCAGCCAGGTTCTGTCTTGTATTGTCTTGTTACATCTGTATTTATACCAGTTGATTTTAATCCTATCAATTTCTATTCCAAAGGTTAGGGCATTTCTTATCTCCATTCCAGGGAGTAAAGATTATGTAGCTTAAGCATGACTGTTCGTAGTTAAAGTGATTAGCTACCCGCCTGGCACTTAGTTAAGGGGTTTTATTCCCTCCCTAACTTCAGGGGAAAATCCCTACCTGGGGAAACAACCTTTCTCGGAGAGGTGACCTTGGTTAAAACACATAGCGCCAAGAAGGGGAGCAAACATCTTAAGAACAGTATGCCATATACGCCAGGTCCTTGAAACATATGCTGTGCAGATGTTTCTTCCCTGCAACAACTGTACCAAGCAGCAAGGATGGACTGGCTTCCGGAAAATTCCCCCTTTTTTAAATGATAGCGCATGTAAATCAGCGGCCACCTCTCGGATTGGGTTAAGACTCGGAAGAAGACACACCCTCAA